GGATTTGGGATGAGGATATACCGAAGAAGGCTTTCAGGACTTGGTATGGGCACTATGAGTTTGTGGTGATGTCGTTTGCGCTCACCAATGCCCTAACAATGTTCATGGATCTCATGAATAGTGTGTTCTAAGACCAGCACTATGAGTTTGTGGTGACTGAAGAAGGCTTTCAGGACTCGGTATCGGTCGGTGATCGTATTTATTGATAATATCCTAGTCTATTATAAGACCAGGGAGCAGAAATTAGGAGAGTATTTTAGTTGATCCAGGCAAGGTTGAGGCTGTGATGCGATGGGAAGTACCGAGGAACGCATCAGAGATTTGTAGCTTTTTAGGTTTAGCAGCCTATTACCGGAGATTTATCCAGGATTTCTCCAAGATTGTTGTACCATTGACTCGTTTGACCAAGAAGAATGTGACCTTTCGGTGGGGTACGAATCAATAATTGGCTTTTGAGACCTTGAGACTAAGGTTATGCGAGGCTCCGATTCTAGTGCTACCTGAGGGGTGGGATGATTTAGTGGTGTAATGTGACGCATCGATTTCAGGGTTAGGTACGGTACTGATGCAGATGGGGCCTGTGATTGCTTACGCCTCGTGGCAGTTGAAGCCTCACGAGGCGAATTACCCTACGCATGCCTTGGAGCTAGGGGTAGTGGTGTTTGCCCTCATGATTTGGAGGCATTATTTGTATGGAGAGCGGTTCACCATTTATACTGATCATAAGAGTTTAAAGTATTTGATGGATCATCAGAACCTCAACATACAACATAGGAGGTGGTTGGATGTGCTAAAGGATTATGATTGTGAGATCCTATACCATCCAGGGAAGGCCAACTTGGTGGCCGATTCTTTGAGCCGTAAGACGACGGGGTGCCTAGTTGGGAATCTCTGTATGAGGATGACTATGATTTCTCCTTTGTTGGATATGATCAGGGAGTCCCAGGTCAAGGGGGTTAAGAAAGAAAACTGGAAGGTAGAGAAAATTCGGGGTCAGTATCCTTTATTTGTTAAAGATAGTTGTGGCCTTTTAACATAGTGTGGCTGAGTATGGGTAGCAGTAACAGGGGAGTGATGAAAAGGCTATTCGAGGAGGCACACAAGTCCAAGTTTACTATACACCCAGGGGATACGAAAATGTATAGAGACTTGAGGCTGACTTATTGGTGGCCATGCATGAAGCATGAGATCGCCTGGTTCATGGAGCGATGCTTGACCTGCACGAAGGTTAAGGTCGAGCATTAATAGCCTCATGGCAAGGTACAACCACTGCGCATTCCCATGTGGAAGTGGAAAGTGATCACTATGGACTTCACCACGAAGTTTCCTAGGAGTGCATGGGGAGTACACACCATATGGGTGATTGTGGACAGGCTGGCGAAGAGTGCCCACTTTATTCCGATTTTCAAGAGTATATTCGTGGAAAAGTTGGCGGATATATATGTACGAAAGGTGGTGTCTAGACATAGGGTGCCAGTGTCGGTAGTCTTTGACAGGGATGTCCGGTTTACTTCTAGGTTTTGGAAGAAGTTCCATGAGGAACTGGTCACTCAGTTACATTTCAGCATGACATACCACCCTCAAACTGACAGTCAGAGTGAGAGGACGATCCAGACACTGGAGGACATGCTTCGAGCATGCATGTTGGATTTTGGGGGAGTTAGGATACGTACCTTCCACTGGAAGAGATCTTATACAATAACAGTTATCATGCCAGTATCGACTGGGCACCATTCGATATGTTATATGGTCGGAGGTATAGGTCCCCGGTGTGTTAGGACGAGGTTGGGCATCGAGTCATGGGGAGCACTGAGGTTGTGCTCAAGACCACCGGACTGATTCAGCATGTGTGTGACTCACTGTGAGTCGTTTAGACACGTCAGAAAAGTTATGTCGAACGACGGCGATCAGATCTCAAGTTTCAGGTGGGGGATTTTGTATTGTTGAAGGTGCTGCCCTGGAAGGGGATTATCGGGTTCCATAAATGGGGTAAGTTGGGGCCTCTGTTCATAGGCCCATTCAGGATCATTGCCCGAGTGGGAAAGGTGGCATATAGCTTGGAGTAGCCAGAGTAGGTTAGTCAGATTCACAACACCTTCCACATGTCCCAACTTCGAAAGTGTGTTGTTGACGAGTCTGCGGTTATTTCATTGGATGATATTCAGGTTGATGAGGGCCTTAACTATGTTGATAGGCCGGTCAACATCTTAGATACAAAGACAAAGGGTCTTTGGAACAAGGAGGTAAAATTGGAAACGGTGCGATGGCAACATCAGAAGGGTTCCGAATGGACTTGGGAGCCGAAGGAGGAGATGCGGCAGCATTATCTTGATTTATTTATAGTTGCGGACTTCGAGGATGAATTCTAGTTCAAATAGAGGAGAGTTATAATACCCTAAACCAGGTATGACTTGAAACCCTTGAAGAATTTACTTTTTCGCATAATTGGTCCTTTGAGTACGTTGGGCATACTTATGTGTACGCTTAGCGTACTATGCACGGGTGATGGCGGAGGAGTTGGACGTACGCTGGGTGTACCAGGTGTACAATGGGCGTACATGCTGAGGGTGAAAACCCTAATTTGCGGACTTGTGGCCTATTTAAACACCCTTAACTCACTTGAGCCTCACCCTTACCAGCTCTCTTCACCTTCAAACATTCCTGGAATCCCTAATATCCTTTGTGAATGCATTTTGAGACTTGAGAGTGAAATTGTGGTCCTTTTTGTGTTCATCCAAGAAGAGAGAAGTGGTCAAGGAAGCTTGGAGTGTCATTTGGCTTCAATAATCTGCATATAGACGACCTTGAGGAGTTCCTGGATGTAAAAAGCTTGGATCTTTCCACTTAAATCTCTAGATCGAGCTAGGGTTTTCTAGCTTTGTTCCTTTTGTTGATTTTCGACCTCCATTTGTGAGTTTAGCAACTCTAGAAGATAGGAATGACAAATATGAGGTCCCTTGGTCCTTTAGTGTCATAAAAATGGAGTCTTTGTAGGAGTTTTGACCTCATGCATGGGTTAAGAAGCCTAGATCTGACTTTTGGACGTAAAGGAAACATGTATTAAGCACTTAATGGTGGTATTGGGTGCATATATGGCATGCAAATGCATAAAGTTTCCAACTTTATGCCTTAGGACATCTTAACAAGCCCAAATCTGACTTTTGGATGTAAAGGAATCGTGTATTAAGCACTTAACCTTGTTGTATGTTCAGTGTAACCCAGTGTATGTCGCGCGTAGTCCCAAGGCCCAATGCGTTGCGCGTACCAGGATTGTACACCGAGCGTACACATCATAAATGGACCCGAAAATGTTTTGGGCTTTTAAGCTATTGGGCCTTATTTGATTATTGGACTTGGTTACATTTTGTGAGTTATAGGCCATTTCATCTATATTGGGCCATGGATATATTGGTTGGGCTTTATTGGGCTAAGAGGCCCATTAATGGTTTTTGACATGGACGTTGGGCTCATTAGCAAAGAGAGGATGATTGGGCCTTAAGGAAGGATATCGGGTTTGGATTCCCTTTTATTCAGTAGAGTCCTAACATTGATTAATTTTATTATTTAGCACGGGAGGCTACAGATTGTTAGGAGAGCAGCTTTCACATTCAGCGGACAAAGGTGAGTTTCCTCACCATACCAATGGGTCTAAGGCACCAAGGCCTGCCCATTTCAGGATATGTAGTGTCCTAGCCATACTATTATTAATTGTTATGATAGTTGGTATGAGATAGGAAGTGTGATTGTATTTTATGTGTTATGTGGTATCAAATACCATGTGAGAGCCCATGGCACTTGGATGTAAGACCATGTGGAGAGCCCATGGCTTTCCTACCGAAGACCAAGGGAGAGCCCATGGCACTTGGATGTAAGACCATGTGGAGAGTGATGGCTTTCATATCAAAGGCCATGGGAGAGCCCATGACACTTAGGTGTAAGAGCATGTGGGGTGCCCATGGCATTCTAGAGTAAGACCCTGGGGACGAGCTCACGACATCCTTGTCTGTTGTATCCATTGCTTATGTGATTTGTATAGTTGTTTAGCTAGTACGTTATGTTATATGTGATTGTGTGTGGTTATGCTATAGGGAACTCACTAAGCTTTCAGGCTTATTGTTTATGGATTTGTTTCAGGTACATCTGAGCCCAAGGGCAAGGGCAAGGCGTGATGGCGCGACGTGCAGTCTTTTTCTCTTTCATTGATATGTTTTGGGGACACTCTGATGATTCAAATGAAGTTATAATGAATATTGATTTAAAAACAATTATGTTGGGATTTCATGATTATGCAATGTGTTTTATTAATTAAAAATGAAAATTTTCTTTGTAAAATTTGGGTCGTTACATACTATCCTTATGTTTCGCTATTTCTATATTACCATGTCCAATTGTGATTAGGTCTCCTTTTCTATTCACCATGGCTTGGTAGAACTCTAAGACGACCTTCCTACTTAAATAAAAGGGTGGAAAGAGGAGTTTTTTGTTGATGCTTCTGCTGTCTCGGGCCTCATGGCATATGGTGCTACTACCGATAGGGGTCCTGATGCTCTGCCCAACTTATCAACTGAAGAACGAGAAATTGTTGATCGTTTGGATCAAAACTATGTCAAGTGGGCGGACCTAAAAGAGGTAACTCTAGGGATATATGACATGAGTCCTCTTTTGAACAAAATTTATAAGAAATCGATTGAAACTGTGACTGATCGAGAAATAACACTTCTAGACCTTTGCATAAGAAATGGTTAATAGAGTCATCTGTGGTCATTGAGGAGTTCGTTGTACAAGATTTCCCTTCCCTTCAGAATCGAGCATGAGTTCCACCATAAATCCCCCTTCTTTAGAAACTTTGATACCACCCATCTCTTCTCTGATCAAGAAAAATGCCAAGGTAGAATAAGATAGTAGGAAACCTTTGTCTTTCTCTATTAGGGATGTCGTGAAGGGATTATCCTTAAAATGAAAAACTGGTTCGGAAAAGGTGGTTTCCCTTGGAGGGCGTAATGAACCATGCTGACACATCGATTGTCGCCTCCTTACTGAAACGAAGTAGTTCTGCTCGTGCTCCTAGACCAAATTCGAAAGAGTCCAGAGGATCTAGAACCCATGTCCCTCACACTTCTGTTGAATCTAATGATCCTGTAGAGACTCAGACATCTGCAGCTCTAGATGACTATCGTATGATCAGTAACCCTGCATTAAAAAATGCCAAGGAGAATATCCCCTCATCTGACTCCGAAGTTCCTTCTATTGGCGTTTTTCCTAGTTCCTCAGTCCAGGTGGAAGTCTCCCAGTCTCTGTTTCTTTCGAAGCTCTGGTTGTTACCAAGGTATCTCATCCTCTGTTAAGAGGTCCCATTACCTTTGCTTTATTTGATGTTGATATTTTTCGCCAGATGTAGTTTGGGATGAGGCTCAATCATTCACAAACCACTACAACAGAAGCTAATGTTGTGACTATGAGTCCCTTAAGCTTGGAGTCTAATATTCCTGGGTCTTCATCAATGTTTACAAATTTTTCCTCTACTAAACCTCCTTCCGACCCGAACCCCCCTATGTCTGCCGTAAATGGTAAGTGGCTTTGCCCATATATATATATATATATATATATATATATATATATATATATATATATATATATATATATATATATATATATATATATGCTTGTGAGCTTACTTATCAGAGCCTCTTTCTTTCTCTTCCTTGTTTATTGATTGTAGTGATCCCTTCTTCTGGTAAGGAAGCTCTGATTCCTACCTTGGCCAGTCTTGCAGCTTTACTTCCTCAGTTTCAACACCCTTTTACTACCACTGATGTTCCTAGAACCTTGGATTGGCAAATGCTTCTGATGAAGAAACTCTTGACAACGCTCGGTCCCACCTCATGGAGAGTATGCACATCCTTAATAAATTATCTGCTCATACCAAGGTTTGAACTGAGGTTCTTACCCAACTTCGGGTTAAGTTTAAGAAGGGCATGCATAAGTTAAAAGCGTTGGGAAAGATTCATGAATGAATCCAACAGGATATACAGGAACTCCAAGAAAGGCTGAAAGGATTGTCCAAAAGAAATACTCTTCTTGTAAACGCCCTGAGTGAAAGTGTTCGCTGCCAAAATGAGTTGAAGAGTTTGAATGAAGATCTTCATATTAAAGCAAACAATGCCCTCAGTCATCGTTTGGACCTTACATAGAGTTGGAGGAAAAAACCCAACAGTTTGGGTCGCTAAATCTTCGATTTACTTAGAAGCTATCTATGCTTGAGATCTCCTGCTTTGACAAAAATGTGTGCCTCATAATGCTAAAGGAAGAACTTGCTGCCCAAAAAAAGAGTTTTTGCTGACAGGGATGCTCAAATTCTTTAATTGAATCAAGCCCAAACCTCCTTTCTTCAAAATGAATGTTGTTTTACTATCGCTGCCGAAACCAAAGCCTCTGAACTTCGATGGTTGGTGCAATAGGGAATCCCCTCCTTTGTTTGCACTTTACTTAACTCTATGGATTTTGGGGATGTTAATGATGTAGTGCAGATAGCCGCTATTCAGCTTGTCCTCCATCAGGCATGTGCGGATATGAAGGAAAAACATGTCAATGCTTTTGAAGGGAAGACTTTTCTTTACTCCTATCCTGGCACCGAACATCAGGGGTTAGATCATTTTTCAAGCATGGTATCCCAGAAGTACTCCTTGTTCAAGCATTTGGAGGGAGATTCCGTGGATATGAATATTTTGAAGGAGAAGTTGGGTGCTTTGGAGCCCTCTTTGAATCCTGGTGGTACTTCTAGTAATGTTTGACAGGTCGATGTTTATGTACCCTTTTTCTTTTGTTTTTTGTTCTCTATTTTTTTATGTCATGTGAATATATATATGCCCGTGTTGGCTGGGACTATGTAATTGTTGGATTAATGTCTAACTCCATAACTATAACTGGTAAGACTTGACCTGACCTGGCATGGTCCATTTGGGTTGCATGGCATCATGCACTTGGATAGACTAAATGAGAGAAATAAGACACTTATGGTTATTAATATATTATAAGTTCTAGTATATTAATAATAAGAATAATAATATTTAATTAGTATTGATTAAGAATTAGTTTAGAATTAATTATGTGATCAAAAGAAGACTAATTAAATATATGGGTTGATTGTGCAAATCATCCATAACTTATATAGTGGGCCAAAGCTCCATGGATAATCAAGTTGGGTTAAACCCATAGGATGCTCCATGGAGGTTACATAACCCATGGGTCATGGAAATGAAAGGTCATGACAATTAGCGCTTACATGGTGTAACCCTAATTGTAACACACTATATAAGCATCATATTATTCACCAAAATCGGCCACTAGTGTGTGTAAAAGGAGGGCGAGCCGATTTCATGAGTAGTAGAATTCTCTCAAGTTATCCCAAGTGTATTTGGTATTGTGTGAACCATTTGAGGTGTCACACTTGAGGCACTAGGCACTCAAGCTTCATGAAGACATTCTACATCAAAGAGGACCTAGGGTTAGGATCTCCGATGATGGCTGCTGGTGTGTATAAGACCCTTCAGCAGTCACCCTCGCCTCACCTCAGCAATCTTCCAGCCGATGTGAAGACAGAAACCGGTGAAGCCAAATCGCTAGACGTAGTGTGTAGAGGGGGAAGAACCACTGTGGCCAGTCGAATAAGCACCGTAGAGGTGTTGCTGTCTAGCTCGATGTCCTTCTCCGCTGCTACTTCACTGGAGATTGATGTCGTTGTAGCTCCGTTACCGGAACCAATACGTACAGTCGGGTTGGCCGCCAAGACCGACGACCGAGCTGTAAATGTTGTTGCGAGATTCGTGAGTGATCGGAATCGCTAGTTAGCCTACCTGTCACCTCTCCCTCTCCCCTCTTTTGATTTTCTCGATGAATCAATGTTATGTACGTCGGATGCTGTCGCCAGCAACCATATGGTTGCCGTTTTGGGTTGCCGCCGGCTGTCATAGCGAAATCACCACCACTTCCGCCTCTTTGTGATTCTGCCGCCGCCAATCGCCGCCAGGAGGGTGGTTGTGCTGTTGTTCCAAGTAGAGTGTGTGAGTGTTATATCTGTGATGTATGATTGGGTTTGTTTGGCCGGAGAATCAGGAAAAGCCAATGCCACCACTGTGAGGTGGTGGTTGCCGCCACGAGCCACCGCCGACCACCATGGTGTGGTTGTGTGTGTGATTAGTTTAGTGTGTGTGTATGTGGTTAATTGAGATTTTAGCCTTGTAAAATGTAATTTGAATTTGGAATAATGAAAATGAACCAAACCACCACCATGAGGTGGTGGCCACCGCTGTGAGCCGTCTTTGACCACCACTGCCCGAGGTGGTAGTGGGTGGTGCTCCGCTAGCAAACCCTCATGGACCTAGCCAAAACCCTAATGGGCGTATGGATTAGTTTTGGGCCTATTGGACCATGTTTGGGTGGAAAACCCTAATTGTGAGTATTTGGGCCTAAGACTTATTGGGCCTACTTGTGGGCAATTGGGATTGGATTGTGAATTAAGCCCAAATTGTTCCATGCCATTTATCTAGTGGAGTAAAGGAATTAATGGATCAAGTCCTTAATGGGCTAATTGAGAAAATCCTAATATTTGAGAATTTATCAAGACGTACAAGAGAATTATTTAATAATTGAAATATTAAATAAGAATCATTGGCGGAAATTAATCTAAGCAATAATGGACTTAATGGATTAAGTCCTTAGTGGATTAAGTCCTTAGTGGATTAAGTCCTTAGTGGGTTTGTAACATCCCAAAAATACAGGACAAAAATTTCATTTTTAAATACGTTATTAGAAAACGAACAGTGTAATAAAACATGTGTAATATCATGTTATATCAAAACCAAAGTAGAAATAATCAAAACATGTTATCATAAAACAATATTAGAGTGTAATCTTAAAGAATCTCATGTGCGGAAAACCATAATGTGATGCGCTGCGATCGAGCCAGCATCTTTCCTTAAAAAACGAGTACCTGAAACCAAAAATGTAAACCATAAGCATGAAGCATAGTGAGTTCCCCCAAAGTACCACATACCAAACAATCACATAACATACATATAATGTCAGGCATATCTGGGTGCCTGACCTGCCCCTTCGGTCCTCTCGATCGGATACTGACTAGCATATATGGGTGCTGGTCTCCCCTTCGGTCCTCTCGACCGGATACTGAATAGCATATTTGGGTGCTGGTATCCCTTTCGGTCCTCTCAACCGGATACTGGGGACTATTTCACCCCTACCACTATCACATAAAACCCTAGCATATAAACATGAATCACAAACTTGTAACATCCCAAAAATACGAGCCAAAAATTTCATTTTTGAAAACATATACTTAGCAAAACATTACTAGTAAAACATACACCAACCACATCATTTCATAAAAGTGTGTGTGTCTGGAAAACAGTGTATAAAAACATAACAACGTCAGAGTACAATCCCCAGGAAGGTCTCATGGTGCGGAATACAAGCGTGTGTGTGATGGGCCACTACCGCGCCAGCTCTTTCCCCTTCGAAGAAGAGGTACCTGAAACCAAAACTGAAAACTGTAAGCACGAAGCTTAGTGAGTTCCCCCATCATACCACATACCATATAATCGCATATCATACATATTGCCAGGCATTTCTGGGGTGCCCGACCAACCCGGTACAGCCATTCTGGGGTGTCGGCCTACCCGTGTCAAGCCATTCTGGGGTGCTGACTACCCATATCAAGCCATTCTGGGGTGCTGACTACCCTTCGGTCCTGACGACCGAACCTCGGGGACTATTTCACCCACTACTGCTACTGTCACATATATCATAACATAACATATTATCAGACATATATGAGGTGCCTAAGCTACCCTTCGGTCCTAACAACCGAACTCGGGGACTGGTCCCCTCCTACTACCTCTATCCAATATAACATAACTAGCCAGCATGCAAACCTATCATCACATACTATCAGACGTACCTGGGGTGTCTGACTACCCTTCAGTCCTAACAACCGAACTGTACTACTATCACATACAACATATCATGCTATCATATAACATATCAGGTAGTAGCAAACCTAGATGATATCACAAAGACAATCATCTATCATACATCTCCTACTGGTGGGCTGGCATTGTGGCCTTAGACCCACCGCTACTGGAAGGTAACTCACCTCGTAGTATGTAGCACCTGGTTCCTGGTATGTAAATCTTATTTGAGTATTTTCCATTTTTAGCCTTGGACTAGGCGAGTCATAGGTCCAACTCGCCGAGTAGAGCCGGGACCCGGGACACGTTTTAAGTTGGTGACTCGGCGAGTCACCGCTGTTGGATGAAACCCTAAGTTTCAGGGGTTTGCACCCTATTTAAACTCTCATTCCGCCCCAATCTTGCCCCCATTCACCCTCAGAGCTCTATACCTTGTTCAAGAGTTGTTTCTTTGTGAGTTTGAAGCATTTGGTGTGCTCTCTTGAAGTTTTGGAGTGGGAAAAAGAGTAGATCAAGAAGAAGAAGAGGAGGTCAAGCATCTTTGAGCTATCTCAGTGTGTTCCCTATGGTATGACTCGATTTTCCCCTTGTTTTCATGCTTATAGTCCCTTATAGCTCCATTAAAGTATTTCTTGAACTATTTCCAAGCTTGTGTATGTTTGGGGGTTCGTAATAAGCTAAGTAACCTCTAGATCTAGGCATGGTTGAGCTCCAGGAGCTCGGATCTACTGCCTTTATGGACCCATGTTGCATGAAGAACTTAGATCTACTCTTTTGGTGCATTTTGAACCCTAAAACCCTCATGGATGGATATTTACACGTAAAGTTGGAAACTTTACATGTTATTCATGCTCTAGGAACCCAGATCTATGAATGGCATGGACTGGATTCGAGCAAAATCACGTTTATGGCTCTTGCATGAAGCAGACTCGGCGAGTCGCTCATCTTACTCGGCGAGTCTAGTCGCGAGTCTCCGAGTTGTCCCCTTTTTCGTTGTGTTAAGTTGTGTAGTGAGTCCAGGGTGGACTCAGTGAGTTGGGAACCAAAACTCACCCATAAGGGAACTCGGAGAGTTGATGCCCAGACTCGGCAAGTTCAAGGCAATCTTCTTAGAATCAAGAACAGACTCGGCGAGTTGTTCATACAACTCGCCGAGTCATAGTATAAATTGTTCATCGGATGATGATGAACTCGGCGAGTTGTTCATACAACTCGGCGAGTAGGATGAAGGACTTGAACATCAGTTTGGAAGGAGAACTCGCCGAGTCAACGCCTAACTCGACGAGTAGAAACAGAATCTAGGTCAGTCGTTTGGATAGGGACTCATCGAGTTGGCGAGCCAACTCGGCGAGTCGGGTCAACTGAAAGTTGACTCTGACTTTGACTTAGGGCATGATCAGGGGTAAAATGGTCATTTTACCTGAAGGACAGTTAGCAGTATTTGACTAAGTGTTTGGTGGGAATTACAGCCGGAGGATTTCCGGAGCAGCAGCAGCAGCAGACACACTATTCCCACACAGATCAGCAGCTACTACGAGGTGAGTTACCTTCCAGTAGCGGTGGGTCTAAGGCCACAATGTCGGCCCACCGGTAGGAGATGTTGATGGGTTTTGGTCATAAGACATCCTATGTGCTCATACAAACCCTAATGCTTGGATCTAGGTTTCTCTATTGTACATGCTTTGAATCCAAGACTATAAACCCTAATTCTAGCATACAAGTAATCATATTAACATGAGAATAGTTTTATAATGTTACCTTGATTGTTATGTAGCAATAACAATCCCAAATCTCCTTGAATTCACTTTGGAAGGCTTAGAGTCACAAGTGTCACTCCTCTAATGGTTCACAAACACCATAAGCAAGAGGATGAAGAGGAGAGAGGATGGAGGCTACCAAAAACGTGTAGAAACCTTAGCAAGATCATTAGCCACGTTTTTTAGCCTTAAGGGGTCTTTATATAGTTGGGCTATTAGGGTTATCTAACAAGGAAACCCTAATTTGGATGCTTAAGCCCTAAGCAACCCATAGACTCCTTTAATTAAGCCCATGGACAATTTCCTTATGGGTTTCCCATTAGAATTCGTCCATCCCTTAATATAAGGCAATCCATGGCCCAAATCATAATTATCTTATAATTACAATTCCAGTCCCTTAAGTTTAATTAATCTCTTTCAGTCACAAAACTAATTACTAATTAATTATTGACTAATATTAATTAAACAATATGATTTCTCCTTTAATATATTATTCTATTAATAAATCATATTTAATCCTTACTCTCCATAATTCATCCTATCAAGTTGCTTTGGTGAAGGCAACCCAAAAGGACCATGCACCATCGGGTCAAGTACATACTAAAATAGTTATGGACTTAGACACTAATCTAACAGTCTCCCACTTGGATAAGTCTAACAACTATTCTACGTATGACTTCAGATCCCGATCTGCAATCGTAGCTTTCCAAAGCCGCTATCAACTCTGATCATATCAGATACGCGTGTCCTTAGATAAGGGATCATATATTCCTCCATTCTAGATATCATATGAGATATGATTTCAAATCATTCTCTTTGTACTATATCTCTATTTCCGATTTATGACGACAGACTAACTGAACAAATCAAATTAGCCCTAGCCCGGCCGAGCATTTACGTATGTCATCACTAAACCATCGAGAGGCCCAAAGATATCACTTTCATTCTTTGAATAAAAGGAACGGATAAACTTTGATACAATGCTTGCTTGCACTCACTAACCAAATGACACACAACAATATGTTTTATAACACCAAGTTACTAGTGCGTTTACATATTATCAATGTGCAATCGATTAGTAAGATACAACTCACACATCTCGGTTTCAAGAATATAAGATGTTATCGTCTCACTAATCACTCGAGATAGTGATCCAAGTGAGCGTGGGTTTAATCCAATGCTCAAATCATATTCATAAGCACTCATGAACGTTGCAGCAAACATTTGCTTATGTCTAATACTTTTCTAGACAATCCACACACCAATTCATGACAGTCTTCATTCATATCTACTTCCAACATATGAACGACTGTGGCCCGTTTGAATAATTTGATTATTCTTAATAA